GAAGAAAAGATCTGTTTATGGCAGTGAGTTCAGATGAAAAAGTTGTGAGCTGTTCCAACAAGGAGTACTGGAACTTACCAGGGTTTGTTTGTGCTCATAAAAAACATGAGTTGTGGTTGGAAAAAAACAAATATCTTCAGGGTGTTATTCAAGGTGAGCTATACTTTGTTAATTTAATTTGCTGTTTAACAAGAATATCATTGAATAATATTACTTACATACCCTTTGCCTAATACTAATACAAAATCTAGATATTCTAACCTCTGGTGTCACCAATGTCTATGAATATGGCTCTTACCTTGCTTACATTCTGTTTTATATTGACATAATTCTTTGATTTTTATTGTGAACATCACTGGTGTTGGTTGTGATGGAAATCAATAAACAGAAGGCCTTTGATATTCTGTGCAAGAGAATAACAAATAGCAATGGTGACAGTACAGTTGTTGCATTTGGCGATGGTAAATTCTCATCAACATCACGTGGGCATGCACCAGGCCCTGTAAAAGAATTTTGCCAGGAGCTTTCTTGGTGAACATTGATGAGTTCCGTACTTCCTCAGTCTGTTCATTGTGTGATGGGTGGTTTGATAAGCATCAAAAAATTCTGGTCTGTCAGAGCCTGCAAATCAGTTTGTCTGACACATTGGAATTGAGATGTTAATGCTTCCCGTAACATAAGGAACATTTTTTTGCACACAAACACTTATGGAGAGACCTGATCCATTATAAGGGGGACTTACTGACCTCTCTGCTGCCATTTTAACTGTGGCAGGACATGTCTAGCTGATGGAAGCAGCAGCAATGATGACTTTCTATCAAGCCACAATTAGCTATAGGGAGGATTTGGATCTTCCTGAATTAGTGTAATAAGGTTTACTTGTTATGAATACATAAGATTCAATTATCAATTTTCCGTTTTTAATTTCTTTAGAAGACTTATCAGATTCAGAAATCGTAGATGAGGATGTAATACCGCAACAATGCATAATAAAGTATGTTTTAAAAATTGTTGATTTACGTATTTTTTTGATAAAATTAACGATCAAAATTTTTTTTTGTTTAATAAAGCCAGCATTAAAACAAATATATGAACAGATTAAACTTGACTTGCCGTGGATAGAAACACAATCAATTACAACTTCTAAGCCGGTGAATATCAATGATGTTGATAATGATCTTGAGCGTGAATTAGAATTGTATGAAGAAAAAATTTTTTGTTTCCCTTCCCCACACACGTATGTACGTTAAATAAATAAATAAATATATATATATTAAAAAAATAATCGCTATGGACATGCATTAGAAGGAGCAATTGAAGGACGAGAGAAAGTTATAGCATCAGGAGTACCATTTACAAGGCCGGATGATTATTTTGCAGAAATGATAAAATCAAAAAATTAAAGCGAGTGAGAATGCAAGAATTGAAGAAATTTGGTTAAAAAAGTCCAAGTAGAAAAGGTGCAAGAACAACAAAAGAAGTATTGGAAAAAATCAAAGTTATGAGAAAAAGTTAAATTTTAAATTTTAACTTGGATATTAATATGTTAATGTAGGTGATTGATTAATTAAGAAATTTTTATTTTAATAGAAAGAAAGAATGTCAAAGATAAAGCTTCTTTTGATGATGGATTTGAATAACCTGACATTCATTATAATTAAATAAACGCATGATAAAAAAAACTAATTACATAAATACAAAAATTAATATTATCAATAATAAAAAATTAAGGCAAATAAAGTTTATGAAATAAAATTGTTTTTAATTTTTGAATGATGATTCAATTGTCAATCCCGCCGATGCTGACACAAAACCAAGGAATGCTGGTGAGGGTTTAAGCGGTCTGCTAAGATATTCTGGATGATATTGTGTACCAACAAAGAATGGATGATCTAAAATGAAAATAATAATTTATAATTAATATCATTAATAAAATGGTGATTTTATGATTGATGATGATTAATTACTTCGGTATTCCATTATTTCCATTCTTTGTCCAGTTTCATCACGTCCAATGAAGTTTAATCCCCATGATTCAAAATTTTTAACGTATTTAGGATTAACTTCATAACGATGACGATGACGTTCTTGCACAATACCAGTATCAATCTCTGTCACGTTCATAATTTCATACAATTTGCCTAAAATGGTAGTATTAATGGTAACATCATCACCATCATTATTTGCTATTACAATTAATATTATTAATGTTATTATAAAACTTACGCATTTTTGACCACAATTCTGTTTTTGGTTGAAAGACTGTTGGTCTTAAACCTAGTCTCATGGTACCACCTAAGCAGGTTGTAGAAATTTCTGGCATATTAATTATGACTTGGTTAGTGGCTTTTGGATTAAATTCTTCAGAATCTGAATCTTTAAAAAAAAAAAAAGGGATTTAATTATATTAATTATATTAAATATTTAGTAAATTATATACATATATATAAAGAATTATCATTACCTGTCATCTTACAAACATTACGTGCAAATTCAATTACAGCAATTTGCATACCAAGGCATATTCCTGTTCATTTTATCAATGTTAGAAATAGTACATATAGAATTACAGCAACAATGATAATAAAATAATCAAACACCTAAATAAGGAATCTTATTTTCACGTGCCCATTTTGCTGCTGAAATTTTACCCTCGATACCACGATTTCCAAATCCGCCAGGAACGAGAATACCATTTGCAGATCTTAAAACTCTCCATGCTTCTTGATATTTATCTGCTTCATCATTCTGTTCCAAATCTGTAGCTTCTACCCACTTTTATTTAAAATATTTATTGTTTTCCCAATTATTATTATTATCAATATCAATATCATTATCATTATCATTATTACTACAACATACTTTAATTATTGGTCTTCTTTCACATTTCATTCCAGAGTGTTCAAGTGCCTTTATAATAGAAAGATAAGAGTCTTGAAGTGTGGTATATTTACCAACAATGACTATTGTAACAGGTTTTGAAAGGCGGTCATGACTTTTTTTTAAAAAGAGATTAATATTATTTTAGGTATACATTAAAAAAATTTTATAATTATAATTGATAAAAATAAATATGATACTCACTCTTCAGTCAACACTATCCATTCCCTCAACAAATGTAAACCATTGTTACGACGCTCTTGTTTGATATTAATAGTATTCAGACTAAGCCGTCTAATAAAAAAGGTCAATATTCCTTGTTCTGATAAAAGCAATGGAACATGGTATGTTGAAGATACATCCTTTACTGAAACAACCTTATTTATATGAAGAATAATAATGTTATTAATAAGAACAAAATTGTTATTGTAATTATTAGATACAATATATTTATTATTTTACTAGTATATACTTGTTCTGGTCCAACATGACAAAACATTGATATCTTTCTTCGAACATCGGGATTTAATGATTGTGAACAACGACATGCAATCTAAAAAAAGTTTAAAAAAAGTCTTATTTTTTTAAGAAAACAGATTTATAGTAAAAAGATTATAAAAAATTTACCAAATCAGGTGACAATCCTAAAGCTCTTAATTCTCTGACTGTGGCCTGAGTAGGTTTTGTTTTTTGTTCACCAACTGGACCAACTATAGGAACCAATGAAACATGAGCCAAAGCAAAATTTCCATGCCCAACATGAAATTGAAATTGTCGCATTGCTTCAATAAATGGTGCAGATTCAATATCACCAACTGTACCACCCAACTATAGGATTATGTTAATGGCTTTAGTTTTTTTTTTTAGGAATTAAGAATTAATTTATTCTCTTAATGTACACTTTTTTGCGCACACATATATAATACATATACCTACCTCAATTATACAAACATCAGGTTCTTGACCACTTGAGTCTACAGGTATTTTGGATACATTTTCAATCCATTCTTGAATTGCGTCAGTTATATGTGGTACCACTTGAACAGTCTTTCCAAGATACTCGCCTTTTCTCTAATTAATTATTTAATCAAAACAGTTAAAATAATTTATTTAAAGGATCATCATCCATCATCATTAATTGTTATTAATACTTACTTCTCTGTTAATAACTTTTTGATATATCTTTCCAGTGGTAATATTATTATCTCTTGTAAGAGTAACATCCAAGAATCTTTCATAGTTACCAAGATCGAGATCCACTTCGCCACCATCATTCAACACAAACACTTCACCTAATCATTAATGTTAACACGTGTGAATGGATAGACATGGTAAGATATGTTTATATATTTATTCAATATTATCATTATCAAAAAAAAGAAAATAAAAAATTATAAGATGTGTGAATGAAAATAATATTATTAAAAGTTTTTTTGATTTTTATTTTTATTGAACTAACCATGCTCAATAGGACTCATAGTTCCAGCATCAATATTCATGTAAGGGTCAATTTTTATTGCAGTGACTCTTAAACCATGGGTTTTTAACAAGAAACCTAATGAGGAGGCAAAGATACCTTTACCAATTCCAGACATTACGCCTCCTGATACTAAAATATATTTCATCTTTTATTTGTTTTACTTTATTTTGGAGAAAAATATTAATATGTATGTATGTATGTATGTATGTATGTATCTTTCCTTATGTAAATGTAAGTATAATTGTTTAAAGAAAGATGGCTATGTAGGATAAATAATGTAAAAATTATTTATTTATGTTTATTCTAAAAAAAAATATTTATTTATTTATTTGAAGAAAAGAATTAAATTTAATCAAAATAAAAAAATAATAAAAAGCTATTTTTGCTAAAAAAAGTTTACTGCCCAGTTTGTCGAAAAGACAGCTGGGAAGGAAAAAAAACACGATCATGCGCGTAAAAAAAATTTTTTTATCAAAATTCAAGATTTTCATAATTAGCAATGATTTGCAAACAATATTTCCTCGGGTATTTTTATTTTTAACAGTTTAGGAAATTTCCTTCGCGTTTAAGAACATGTAAAAACTCAAATTTCAAATAAAGCCATAATTCTTATTTCTTTACAGAACCTAAAATTAAAATCAATATTATAAAAAAAAGCCTACCTTTACAAGTGAGTCCTCTATACTTTTAAAGGTCATACAAAATTTCTCTCACCATTGATAATGGATATATATGGTAAATTTTTTCTGTGATGATCGTCACCCAAATTATCACAAATTCTATTGGCTCGAAAATCATAGTAATTATACAAAGTTATACTAGTATAACGGGAATTTTTGAAAATGTCATCATAATGAGATGTGTCATGCATATATATATTTTAAAGTTATATAGTTGTACATCATGATGTCAAGATTGTCGTCACGATGTGACAAAATATATTAGTGCAACAAAAAGAAAAAATCTAAAGGTGGATTGGATGATATTTTGATATTTATTATTTTTGAGTTAAAAGGTCCTGCCTGCACTCTAAAATTTAATCCGTCATCCGATAATCACACAAAAAATACATCCGCCAGATTCGGGTGAATTGAATAGATAATCTAACAAACATCATCATATATAAAGATTATTAAAAATACAGCAACAGCAACGGTAATCCATAAATTTAGTTTAATAGATGAATGCATTCATAAAATATGTTAACAAAGAGCAAAAGAATTTAGTAGAAAAACCAAAAAGTGTTTTTAGAGATGAAACAAAGCTCAAAATGTTTTTTATAAACTAAATTCTAAAGGTTTAAAGGGAGAGGGAACGATTTCCAATTGGTTGTATACAAACTGAGTTTAAATCAACTCTATTTTGGTTTGGAGAACAATTTTCACTTATTTAATGCCGAAGTAGATATTGACGACTTTTTAACATTTTAAAGACGAATTGCTTAAACCCCAAAAATCACAAAATCACGACGATAAATTTATTTCAATTATTATGTTAACTATTTTTTTTTTTATAAAGAAACCTTCGCCTAGTATGCAAGTCGTGCTTACTCGACTGTTCAAAGACAAAGCGCAAGACGTGTTAAATAATAATAATAAGTTTTTTCGGTTAACTAACCTTTTTAGAAATTTCCCGACGATCAAAATATCATCCACGGATCGCATCTACTAAATCATTTATAGATCAAAAATTGATAGAATTGCTTTAAAAGCCTTCTTCAATATCTTGAAAAAGTTCATATTAAGCAATTGAGGCTTTTCATGTTAAATATTTTCACACAATCTGACTCACAATACCTAGATGACTGGCTACCCTAGAATGGAGATTAATTACCCTATTAAAAAAAAAATACATTATTAATTTCAGAAACACTCGTGAAAATTTCCACGAATTTGCGAACCGACTTTCCACCTGTAATCTTTCTGTGATTTTGTATATGATGCATTTCTGGAGAAAACATGGAACTTCAAATCATGGATCGAGTTTTTTTACAGGGTTAAAATTTCCTTGCGCCGTACTTTTAGAGCTCCATCATCAACAATTACAATAAGGAAAATACTAAACAATCAATAAGAAACAATAAAGAATGGCAAAAAAATTTAAAAAATATCAATATAGAACTTAAAAATTGTGAATTCAATTGATACGTTTGAATACATCAATCTTTGTAATCTGTAATCCTTGCCCTTATCAAAATTATGATTAATGGAATATGATAGTCAACACCAACCCATTAATTATCGAAAACCCGATAATTCCAGATGAGATGTTTGCCATAATCAATAATGCTGCAAAAAAACATATAATGAATCAATACGGCTATGTAAATGCAAGCGAAGACCAAATGTGTAGGCCAGCTGTACAGATTTTAATGGTTACGTAGAACATTATCGATAAAATCTCCATTGAAAACATCAGAAGATGAACATTGTAATAAAATTTTAAACATTTACATAAATTTTTTATTGTCCGAAATAAAATCAATTGGGCAAGTCATAATTTTAAAATCCCATTCAAGAGGCAAGGATATGATAGGCTAACAATCGGAGATGAAGTGTGGACCAGGTCAAACTGTATTATTTATTTAATTCAGGTCAGCATTTTTATTATAATTGCTAGCTTATTGTTTTCTTTTAAAATTGATTTTATTTATCTTTAAATTGAGAATTACAGCAAACTTTTATCATAAGTTTACACACAGCGGAATTTATCTGTTGTGACAACTACCTGATAGAATCTAATTTTCAACATTTCGTCGGGTTAGAGGTACATGAACATATGCATGTCATGTTATTATTATTAACTGAATATTTGCATTCAACAGAATCATGTAAATAATCTTTATCAAACGTAAAGATGTCCAAATTAGATGACTTTGCGAATATCTATGCTAATGGGTTTGTTCTGAATACAAACTGCCTAAAAACCTATATTATTGATTGGTAGAAAGGTATTATGCAAACTTTTTAATTGATCTAAAAGATAGAAAGCTGAAATATGTCATCGTGTAAAAACAATTAATGGTTTATATAAAAATTACAACCTTTACCATACATTACTTTACTCGTTTTTAATTGAAAGGAGAAGATCCTATTACAAGAATAGTTCACAGAAATCTAAAGTAAAAATAATTAATGGTTATATATGAAACCTACAATATTATCAAACATTTACCTCACTTAACCTAGTAGTGGAATTATTTTTAATTGAGAAGAAGCCTCTGACAGTTTCGTTTTGGTTATTTGAGCAACCTAAAATTCCATAAGAAAATAGAAACCTAAAATAAATAATCAATAGATCACTATGTATTTTACTTTACTCAACTGAAGGACGTATCAATGTTATATTTGATCGTTTCTTCTCCGATTCATGTTTGCCATATTATAAACGTACATAATTTGTTGGTAAAAAAAATTGAATAAAATATAATTAAAAATGACGAAGGTCCAAATGCTTTAACAAATGAAGATTAGCAGAAGGAGAATTGGAAGAAGATGGTGATAATTTCTGTCTGTTTAATTACACCAAATGCGAATACAACCTTTTGTTTAGAGTAAAGAACCATTTAAAGGCAAGGAAGCACTTTTGTCAGTACTTGCATAATCAAATGGAACAAGTAACTATAAAAGGATAAAACGAGAATTAAAAAAAATTAAGAGTTAATGTTAATGTTAATGTAAATAAATGATTCGTAATTTATGCGAAGGGTATTCGTCATCCATGTTATATATGCATGAATATTATTAATTCATTATTAATAAGATACGGAAGATAAAAACCTTGGTAATCGAAAATATAATGTTTTTATCACGCATAAAAATTTTATAATGAACAAATATTAACATTTATTATTCTTATAAATAAAGCACAGCAGATATTATCATCGGGTAAATCAGCAACATCAGCAACATAATTGAAACTTCATAGTGAATTTAGTATATTTTTTGGAAGTTTAAGATGCCTCATATCAAGTTCATCACAAATCGTGCTAAAGAAACATTCATCGTGAGACCGATAAAGTGGCTTATGTCAATGAACGTTGGATAGCAAGCCTGGCCCTCAATATCACACCAATCAAGGCCTACAAGTTTTGTATGTTGCACGCCATTGATGTTCACGATATTGCTCTTGCGAAAGTCACCAAACACCAGGTTTGTTCCATGTAATTTCTGCATAGCATTGTAGACCTCCTTAATGAATTCTCTCAATGTCATCTTTTTCAAGCTTGTCTAGAAACATTAGAAAGCATGCTGCCATCAATATATTGATATGTCAACCATACACTTTATCCTTGTTATAGTAGAATATTTGGGGTACAAATCCATGCTCAGCCCACAGTTGATGCGTTTTAGCGTTGTATCTCTTGCAAACTTACCAATCATTTGATGATTATCATTCGTGAGTGTATGCCAAAGATTTTTTTTTCAGTTAATTAATCATCACAAGTAAATCAATAATTGTCTTATTATTCGTTTCAAATTGGTTAAAGTAAGGGAAAAACCGCCGTGTATTCCAAAAGAATAATCTCTTAAATTAAATTGCTCATAAAATTTCTTTGAATAACAAACAGACTGCCGCAAGCTTCAAATGTCTGTGCCATATGATATAAATAATTTTGATCCTTGATGTGAGACTAGTCCAACCAAGTACACCGTTCCCAAGATACAAAGCTATGTACTTACTATTGTTATGACAAAACATGGACAATTGCACAACTTTTGCATTTTGTTATTTCATTCCAAACATTAATTAGTAAGTATTATAAATATTTTTATAAGCTAAGCTTTAAATTTGTATGTAAAATTTGCCTTTTCTTATGTCCAATATCGGCACAAGAGATAGTTCCCTAAATAAATGGGTCACTGAGATCCATCTGAAAGAACTCTCCGCTCTAGTGGACATTGAAATATACCTCTCCACAACTTCCTGTCATTGATCTTCCGCTCCATATACTTTTGGCATTTCATCAACAAAATCATCAATCCATTTAAAAATACCTTCTGATACGACTAGACTCTTGTTATTGTTAACTTACAAAATTGTGTCGAAGACATCATGATAAAAATTGACAGGCCAACTAAAATCAGAGCGGTGGTTTTTGAAAGGGTTTGAAGTTCAGAATTGCACAAGTTACTGAAGGTGGAT